CCCTCGCTCTGAGAGTGACCCTGGATCTCTGGCTGGGTCACAGCTCTCATCCCTTGCTCTCTCTCTTTCTCTTTAGTGGGACTCATACCCTGACGTGCTGGGGATGCAGTTCAGCTGGGATGGCTATATCAAGGAGGTGGGCTCTGCCTTCATTGGCTGCAGCCCTGAGTTTGAATTTGGCCTCTACACTTTGTGCTTCATTGCTCGGCCGGGGAAGATGTAAGTACTGTGCCTGTCCCTAGCGTCTGTCCCTTCCAAGTCAGAGAGACATGGTGGGTGAGATCATGTCTTGTGTTGGACCAACTCGGCTACAACAGTACTGCATACCTTGTGTGTCACTGAGCCTGCCCCACCGAGGGGAAGACGGTGGAGCCAGAAGCACCCACTTCCACTGCCCTGTGGTGGAAGGATATTCACCCAGGCTCCGCTCACCCCCTGGAATTCCAGGGCCAAGGTGGGCACACAGACCTGTCCCAGCATACCTGTTCTAGGTGACCTCTCGGTCTGACCTCCCTGCTGGGCTCCCAGTCAGAGCCTGGTTCTGGATAGAGTATGAGGTGAGGGGAATTAAGAGGAGGCTTGTCTTGGCCTAGGTGATGTGGGAGAGACATGAATCCAATTGCATTCTGGACTGAGCTCTGGGGTCAGCATGGCTACCCTCAGCGCTGCCTGGCATGGGCTCAGTCCCTGAGCATTGAGCTGCTCGTCTGCGAGAGGGGTGGAGTCAGGAGCAAGGCAGTGCTGAAATGTGGACTTTCCTCCTTCAGTTGCCGGCTGAGCTTGGGAGGCCATCAACTGGGCATTCAGACCTACACCTGGACCAAATCCACCTATGGCAACGACAGGAAGTATATAGCGACTGCCTACGTGACATCATCCTGATGCTGCCAACGATCCCAGCTGCGGGGAGGCACAGGGAGGGGGAAGGGTGGTGGTGACATCCTGGGAGCATGCAGCTGCGCCAGGAAACTTGGGCTCATAGAGGGGGCACAACTTGCAAGGTGCTGATCGCTCTCTTCTGCACCTGCCAGGCCTAGGCCCTGCCTCGGTGGGGTTAAATGATCTTGCTGCATATGCATTATGTTTGCATGGTGCTGAAGGAAGCTGGGGCCCTCTGAGACACCTGCACAAGGAAGGAAGGAAGGAAATGTGAACTGTCTGTAGCCCTGAAGAAGCTCCTGGTTCCCTTCCCAAGCATGTGTCCCTCGTCCAGCAGAAGAGGGATAAGAAGTGTTGAGTGTCTAATGGGACAGATGGGAATTAATGCAGACAAGTTAAATAAAAGATGCTTTGAAGGAGTTGGCCTGGCTTCCTTTGTGACATGGCGATTGTCTGGCTGCACAGACGCCTCTCCCTGCCCCTGGGATGTGGGGGTGCTAATTTCTTCAGCTAATTTCCATTGGCGACACAAGCTGAGGGTTGCTTTGGGATGGAGAAAGCTTCTCCTTCTCCACTGGCATCGTGGGCTGGGTTTGGCCCATGGGGATTGCCCAGAAAATTCAGTACATGGCCTGTGGAGTTCCACGAACATCTGGCCCATGGCCACAGCTCATCGATGGTGCTTGGCGTTGGCCTAACTGCTCACATTGAAGTCACTGGTAGAACTCCCCTTAACTGCAATGGCCTAGCCAGGGTAATGCTGGTTGCCTTTGGACCCTGCCCCGCCAAGTTCCTCTGTAATGCTGGAAGCTCTCCGGAGACCCTGGATTTACACTGGCGTACATGGGAGCAGAATCCTTCCATGGTCTCTATAGCCACTGGACTCCCCGACAAGATCTAAGGACCAGACAGTGGCCTTTAGCCCTTGGTCTGGATAGAGGGTGATGTGGATCCACCTAAGGGAGAAGGATCATGCCCTTTCCTTCCTGCCAGTCCGAGTGGAGACTCTGCCATTAGGACCCACTAGGCGGTGGGTACACCAGATCACTCATGGGGAACCGAGGGGCGGGAGGGGTTGCTGTCTGGACGCGGGCATTGCCTGAGTGCGGACTGCTCTGTGGCCATGAGGTGGCACTCACTGCACGTAAGGTTCTGCCAAAAGCCTGCCCTGAGCTAGGGTGGAAGCTGCCTGAGCCACTGCTCCCTGGCCATGTGCCCTATGCTCCCGAGAGTGCGAGGGGAGTCCGGCTCCTACGGACATTCACTCCTGGCCTCCTTGTGGGGGTGCCTGTCCAGGGCCCTGCTGGAGCCCAGTGCAATGGCAGATATAGTGAAGTGCAGTTGGGAGCAGGACAGAGATTCCTCCAAAACACACTGGCACCTCCCTGTATAAAAGGCAAGGGGCGTGGCAGGAGATGCATTTCCCTGCAAAGGGGCCTTGGAGGGGAGCTTGATCTGATAACAAAGGGAAAGAGTGTTGTATTAGCATACCCCACCAGTGGCCAGACCAGACCCCCAGAGATCAGAGAGCTGCATGCTGGGAGCCACTTGCTGGGCCTGCAGAACCCAAGCACTGTGTTTGAGCGCCATCTGCTGGCCCCAGATCCACTAACTTCTGGCCTCCATATCCACTAACTAACTAGTGGCAAACACACCTCTCATTTAGGGAACTCTCCTGTACTGCTGCATGTACACACAGTGCAGGACAGTCCCTGCCATAGAGCGCTCCCCATCAAAATGCACCAGAGGGGCCGGGATCACCCCATTTTACAGACGGAGAACAGAGGCCGACACTTTCTGTAACACATTACAGCCCCTTCCTGTCAGTCAGGCAGCACCAAGGGCAGCCAATGGGCAGCAGAGAATTCCTCTGGAGCTCCCTGCTAGCACAGACATCAGTACTGGCTCTGCTCCCTGCCCCTCTGACTCCCACAGGGGGTGTGGAGCTCTGCAACTGGGACAGGCTTAGGCTGAGGGAGCTGTAACTAGTTCCCTGCCCCCACCCTCCAAGCAGTGCTCTGACACAAGAAAGAATCTGGAGCATTGAGTGACTTGGCCCCTGCCCCCAGGTCAGACAGGGAGTCTGAGCAGAGATAGGACCAGAACCCTGTACCTCTGCCAGGTGTCTTCCCCACAACCCTGGCCTTCAGCTGAGCTCACATCTGCCCTTGGGTCTCCCTATGTGTGTTGCCTTCTCCATCTCTGTCTGCTGAGGCAGAACAGCCCTTAATTTGGAGTCTTACACATGGTTCATGCTGAACAAATACACAATCATGCCAATGACTCAGTATGTGATTGGCTACCAACCAATAATATCACCACTCATTACTTACTAGTTTCATAAGCAGACTAGGGAAATGTGGTATAGATGAAATTACTATAAGGTGAGTGCAAACCTGGTTGAAAGACCATACTCAAAGAATGGTTTGCTGTCAAACTGGGAGGGCGTCTCTAGTGGGGCCCTGCAGGGGTCAGTCCTGGGTCCAGTACTGTTCAATATTTTTATTAATGACTTGGAGTGGAGAGTATGCCTATAAAATGTTCAGATGACACCAACCTGGGAGGGATCGCAAGCACTTTGGAGGGCAGGATTAGAATTCAAAATGACGGACACTGCACCCCATATTCTTCACAGTGATATTATTATGATACAAGTATGGCATAATTACGATGTATTTTATGCAAGATAAGTCATGTGAAGCGTCTATGGAAAAGTTATGATTTGCTGAATATGATTATCCTGTTTATATGCATGTATCTTTTTTGTATCTGAAGTTATGAATATTGATTATGTATCTGTAGTTACACCTGGGTAACGCTTACTAGACAAGATGCTTTCAGTCTAGATAGTGGGTGGGGAAGGGCCTATTCATGGCAATGGGCCAGTAGGAAGAAACAATAGGCCTTAGGAGAAGCTTATCTCCCACCTGGGGAGCCTTCCTGACAACGCCACAGACAGCCTCTGAGTAATGGCTGCTATGACGCTACAAGGCCATGTGATGGACTCAATCTTGGGATGGCAGTATTTTTCCACAGAAAAAAATACTGGTCTGGGAACAAAGGGTTCCCACCATATGCAAAAGCTCTATAAAGTGGGGAGTGATATCATCTGGTGTTCACTCCCCACCCAAGACCTGGAAACACCTGAGGAACAAAAACTGAACTGGGGGAAGTGCTGAACCCAGGCTAAAGGGATTTCTAGCCTCTGAATGAAACACCTGGGGATTACAGCTGTAAACAAGTGCAGCTTTCCCCTTAAGAATCTGCAGCCTGCTTGTATCATCTCTTAGGGTGAGAATCTGCTAATTCATATCCAATCTATTTAGTATATTAAGCTTAGTTTGTGTTTTTTGTTTATTTGCTAGGTAATCTGCTTTGATCTGTTTGCTATCATTTCTATTCTCTTAAAATCTATCTGTTGGAGTTAATAAACTTGTTTTTGCTTTATCTAAACCAGTGAATTGGAGTGAAGTGTGTGGGAATCATAACTCAAGGGCAAAGGCTGTTGCATATTCCTCTCCACATTGAGGGAGGGGGCGAATTTTATGAGCTTATGCTGTACAGTTCCGTGTGCAACACAAGATGGTATAATTTTGGGTTTATACTCCAGAGGGGGTGCGTGCCTGGGGAACTGGGAGTTGTCTTAACTGTAGCCTTCCTATGCACGGGCTGGTCAGAGAGCCTGCATGTAACTGCATCTGGGTGTGTCCCTACCTGTATGTATGCTGGTGAAAGTGCAGGCTGGAGGGCTTTGCAGCTTGTCACAGCAATATAGTGTGTGAGAGAGCCCAGGCTAGTGGGTAAGGAGGCTCAGTGGTGCCCCAGTTCCAGGTGGAACCCCGGGGGGAACCTGTCACAATGACCTTGACAAATTGGAGAATTGTTCTAAAACCAAGAAGATGAAATTCAATAAAACAAGTGCAAAGACTTCAATTAGGAAGGAAAAATCAATACACAATCACAAAATGGGAATAACTGGCTAGGCGGTAGCACTGCTGAAAAGAATCTGGGGGTTCTAATGTATCACCAGTTATATATGGGCCAACAATGTGATGCAGTTGCAAAAAAGGCTAATATCATTCTGGGGTGTATTAATAGGAGTGTTGTATTTAAGACACAGAAGGTAACTGTCCTGCTCTACTCAGCACTGGTTAGGCCTCAGCTGGAGTACTATGTCCAGCATTGGCATGTCAGAAGATGGACCATTGGTCTGACCCAGTACGGCCGTTCTTATGTTCTTAAGTTCTTATGTACCCTTTAGAAAAGATGTGGACAAATGGAAGAAAGTCCAGAGGAGAGCAACAAAAATGATCAAAGGTTTAGAAAGCTGACCTGTGAGGAAAG